ATCATCATCATCATCATCATCATCATCATCATCATCATCATCATCATCATCATTATCATCATCATCAAGTCCAGATCTGCAACAATGATTGTACATCCAATTGATTAGATAATAGTCTATTGCTTGATTTTTTCGTGCTGTGGAGGATACACTGTTTATCACACAAAGACTGAAATGGTGACTTGGATGGGTAAAATGATACGTGTTACTCCTTTTACAAAAATACAACATTTATGCAGAACATATCCATATCCATGCTCTACAGCACGCTCTATGCAGTTTACTACTATCAATGCAGTAAACCTTCTAGAACAATCAGAAACATTCTTGGCTTCCCGGGAAACAGACAATGCAAAAATCCAATCAAGCGCTCAAACTGAAATTTTTAGCTGTCAATAGCTTGGTACATGTACCCATTCCCGTCAGGGCGAAGAGAGGAAATATATTTAAAACGCCTTTCCCAAGGACACAGCATTGAGCCCGTACCAGGTTCGATCCATGACCTTTCGGTTACGAGCTCGATAGCCTAACGACTTTTCCCCAGACGTCACAGAGGCTTTACCGGCCATTGTAAAACTGGGTAAATGTTGTACATGTAGCCCTCTCAGCCTGTGTAAGCTCCTTCACGCAGGGTGGAAGAAGCCGTTCCTTACTGCTGCAAATTGTTTTGATATGTTTGTGGAACATTTTATGCCCAGTACACATTGTCCATATATTTTTTTATAGTTCTATTTTTGATTCTCTTAATACAATCAGGGCTGGCCTGGATTTTTCTTAATGGAGGAACACAAGCTACCATTTTGTTACAATTTGATTTTCAAAAAGGCCTCCCCCCCCCCCCTCACAACAACAACAAACAATAAAACAAAACAACCCCAAACAAACAAGAACAACAAAATAACCAACAAAAGCCACCCCCCCAAAAAAAAATCCACAACAAAAACAAAAACAAAACAACAAGAACAAAAAAGAAACCATGTTTTTTTTTATTCGGGAGGAACTGATCAATTTATAGACCACCAAAAATAGTACCTTTTGCCTCCCCCCTCCCCCTCAATGGAGTACATCTGTCTGAATCTGGCTGGCCCCGCCTCAGTTCGACTGAATCCGAGTGGCAGTGTGCTCTAAGTATTAACTCTTTAAAGACGAAACGGACAATATATGTCCGATCAGCAGCACACCCAAAAGACCAAATGCAATAATGGTGTCACATTTCGAACCATCAAACACAAATCAGGAAGACGAATTTGCATATTTCCTAGTAATCACATTATTGTTGCTTGCCTTCTAAAGTTTCAAATACAGAAAACAAAACAACAAAAAATCGGTTTACAAACTGAAGTTATGCCCCAAAACAGCACATCTTCCAGCCTGGTTGAATGGTCAGAATGTGAGTCTTCAAAGAGTTAACAATCTTGACAAAGAAACTCGTTCCACTCACCTCACGACAGAGTGATCATAGGCCAGAGCAACACTTTCGACATCGTCACCGTGGACCCGGACAATGACCTGGTGCTGTGTAAAGTCGCTAGCTTTGTTGCCACATTTGGCATCCAACCCTTGCCAACTCTGGAGATAAAAAAGGTAATGGTCTTGTAAGTATATGATGATAATAATACGTGTAATGAAGATAATAATGATGATAATGATGATGATAATAATAATAATAATAATAATAATAATAATAATAATAATAATAGTAATAATAATAATATTAATAATAATAACAATAATAATCGGTTTCTGGACGCCACAATGTTCCTGGAGTAATATAAGAAACTACGTCTCAACAGCCGCGCGTAGATTGACCTCAAAGCAAACGAACAAACAAATAGACCGTATGAGAGAAAAGTCATAACAACAAAAAGCAAACAAACAAACAATCACCTCACACGCACACACAGATAGATAGATAGATAGATAGATAGATAGATAGATAGATAGATAGATAGATAGATAGATAGATAGATAGAGACAGACAGTCAGACAGACAGACAGACAGACATAGAGAGAGAGAGAGAGAGAGAGAGAGAGAGAGAGAGAGAGAGAGAGAGAGAGAGAGAGAGAGGGGGGGTCATCCATGTTCGATCTTATGAGAACACTTCCAATAATCGTAGCATGTTCAACCTTTTAGCAACCCATTGTGGGGAAGGGAGGTGGGATTCCTCGGGACTTAAGAAACAACTGCATTTGTAGGACGCTGGAATCATACCTTCATTTCAACTTGATTAATAGTATAACCATGGTGTACCTGAAAAATGATTGAACTTTAATCTACTCAACGAATTTCGGACGCTTTAAATGTTGTTAACAGTACCCTCTGATAGTAAGAAAAATAATTCATTATCTAGCTTCGTTTATAAGTTTGACATCACGACAAAGATGACATGCACACGCCCACCTCGAGACCAGAGTCAAGGAGGCCAAATTATGACACTAAGGGATAAGAGATAGCGGGAGATCACGGCCACCTCACTTACAGACTTCGCGCTGGTATGCAGACCCAACAGACAAAACCAAAAACAGAGGTGTACAGGGAAAACCAAAGCAAAAACAAACAACAACAAAACAAAACAAGGCCTGGGGTTCGATTACAACGCATATTATTATATGTTTGAACTTGAGCCTTCATGAAAGTGAAAACGTGATGGCCATCAAGTATGGCTTTACCCGATGACTCAAGAGCTAGTGATGAAATCGTACCCTGGCAGTGGCTGACTGCAATAGTACATTTACTAGAGCTTGGAACGCCCGGTGTCAGGCCACCCAGTTGTATGACTACGACGCCTCACGTTCACGTGCATACCGCTTTCTACCTGACCTTTTTTCGACTTTGGTAGACAGATAAAAAATGCTGGCACAGTGCCAGGAAACGACAGGTCACGTCATTCGATCTTTTTGTTTTTAATCGTGATCAAATTGTTTTTTTTTTTTACACATATATTTTTCTCTAGGTAGGGGTCATGTATTCACTAACAAAGACAACAGGCTGATGACTCTCCATTTCATCCAACGCCATGGAAGGACAAACATCTTTTAAAAAATGTATCTATTTATTTATTTATCAATTTATTTATTTACTTATTTATCCATTTACTTATTTATTTATTTATTTATTTACTTACTTATTTATTAATTAAATTATTTATTTATTTATTCATTTATCCATTTATTCAGTTATTTTTGTCTTTCGCGTCATGATTACACAGGCCATTTGGCCATTCCAAACTATAACTCTGGAAATAAAAAACTGTTATTAAGATGGATCATTTTTCAGCCTCAGCCACACTAAAATTAACATGTAAACATTTTAAAATGCTGCAATGTTAGCGTTACGGGAGGCAGACAGGCTGATATATGACTCCACAAGAAACAATGATAATAATAATAGGTCTGATCTGCACTTTTTTCCGCTCTATGAACACATCATAAAGCATGCCGTGGACGGAATAATATTTTCATGTCTATTATACCTTGTTGGCCTGGACATTACAAGACTGGGGTATGGGTTGATGTGAATATTATCCAATGATGAAGCCCGCGTGGACACTGAACTGACACTGATGTGTAACAGATGTAACTGCCTCTTGAGAGACACTTTTAATTAATGTCTAGTTTCTAGCGCTTGTATCTAAAAGGACTGGGTTGTTCATTAACTCCTCTTTGAACACAAAAAAGGATCCTATATAACATTTGTAGTAATTTAACTACCATGAATAACCATTTGAACAGCAATTCTGTTATTTTTAGTTTTAGAATGTAGTGTTTCACGTGCAACACGATGAAGTCAAATAAAGAACATTAGCAGTGTCACAAGAGAGTAACAAAAACAAAAAAGGAGGAGAGGTAAGGACTATATATATGTTAGACAGGAAAGAAGGAGAAGACCAAACCAGAACATCTGCCAACCACCCACTACCTGAGTGTACTCTGTCACTTTGGACAAGAGTCAAAATATAATGTGTGTGCCTGTATGTATAGATAATGTGTGGGTTCGGGGAGAGGGGGGGGGGGCTATGTATTATAAATTTCAGCTTATCATAATATCAGTAAGCCAGTAAAGAGTGTACTAGCCTCCATATTTTGAAGCAAGTATTAGAACTTCTAAAAACCAAGGGTTAGTTATATCATAGTTCCAGCGAGTGAACAGAAAAATACAGAAAAAACAAACAAATTCAGGTGATTCCACAGGACTCAATTAATAAAATCTTTCTCTTTAAACAAAAAATTGTCTCCTAACTTGTCACCTGCTTTTTACAGTACAATGGGAAAGTATCACGCATAGAATAAGCAAGACAATAATATGAGAAATTTTAAAAAGTTCATTCAGGGTTCCTGTAGGAGGGAAAAACATGAGCACGAAACGGTAGTTTACTGATGCACCCACCTCAGGCATTTTGTGGTTCTTGTTGAACTGTGAAATAGAATACTGGCGAATGTAGTCTCCCATCTCCTCTCTCGTCTCGATTGCTTTTTTCACCAGCCACTGGAAGATATTAATAAACGGTAATCATTAAAAAAGCATCTTCAGGCAAACTTTAATTCATCTCGGTCCAGTCCTTACTTTCCGCTTTGTTTATTTTTATGGCAGAAACAATCAAACAAGAGAAGAGAACTTCATCCTCCATTATGGTGAGGACCTGATGGGAAATTCTTCAAAAAGAAAATTTCAAATTTTTATAGACATCAAACCTACAGTCTGCCAAAGGCCAACTGCACATAGACTCATAACTAAATAAACAAATGTAAAATCACTGTCTCTGCACTAATGCAGCACAAATCAACGCTTTTGTGACAACCCTCAGCTTCTTGCAGTGAACTCCAGAGCTGCATTTAGTGAGGACTGGGTTAACACCAAAAACAGTTCTGAGAAAGTTTAGGGCAACTATAGCTTGTTCAATTTCGTCTGTTTGTGTTAAAAATATTCTAGCTAATTTATTCATCTATCTTATTTACTTTACTTTATCTTTATTTTATCCGTCCTCTTGTACCTCTAGGGCATCGAGGGGAGAAAGAGCTTCCTGTCTCTAGCAAGTTTGATAGTCTGGCTGGCTGGGATATTGAATATTCTCAGGGTATCCTTCACACCCTGGATCCAGGTCTTTCTTGGTCTCAATCTTGCCTTGTACCCTGATACTTTCCTGTAGTAGGCTTTACTGGCAAGCTGGTTAGGTGCCATATGTGTGAGATGTCCAAACCACCTGATTGTTCGCCTTTGGATGTAGTGGAGGACAGGTGTTGTTCCCACCATTTCTCTGATCTTCTTGTTTCTGATCATATCACGTCTGGTTTTGTTGACAGCTCTCCTTAGACATCTCATCTCGCAGGTGGTTATCTTACGTTCCAGTCTTTTGGTCAGGGTCCATGTCTGGCACTGGTAGGTCAAGAAGGGGATGAAGATAGAGTAAATGAGTTTGGCTTTGGTCTCAATGAGGATGTTAGGATGTTTGAGGAGTGGGGCAAGCAGGTAGCTGACGCTGTTAGCCTTTCATACTCTTGTCTCAATTTCTCTGTTGAGACATCTGTCTTCCAAAAAGATGCTACCAAGATACTTGAACTCGCTGACTTGTTTCGGCGGATTTCCGTCAATGGTGATGTTAAAGTTGCCAGGTGTTCTGCTGATTTTCACCGTCTCCCTTTCGCTTTTACTCTGCCAACTTGGGGAAAAAGGACGAATATTGCGAAATACCCATTTTCCAGGAGGGCCAAATAATCAAATTTATTCGTCTCACGTTGAAAAGGGTGGGTTTTTTAAATTTTATTTTTAACTTGATTTTTGGCAGGAGGAAGGATGATGTAATTATGCACTTGTAGTTAAAATTTTGTTTGGAAATATCAATAAAATTTTGTGTGAGAAGACAAAAGTCATTCTTTCATAACAGATTGATGAAGTTTTAATTAGTTTTTTTATGGCAAAAGGACGAATGGCGATATTCGTCTTTCTTTCACCTGACTTTGTCAAATAATAACATCCTGGATTTTTAGTTTCTGTGATATTTGAGGTTCGTCATTTTTTTTTGTAAGTGTTTTGCGGCTTCCAGAATGTTATTTAATTGCGCTTTGCCGGTGGAGCCAAAGATCTGGGGTTCAAATTCTGGTGAGTGTACACATGCAGTCATGCTTGTCGTCTTACTGCATGCAACACACTTGACACTGGGGGGATCAACGCCGGATATGCCAGGATTTGAGCCTTTCGGTATTTCATCGTAAGACCTGTGGCAATGTAAGATAGGCATGTTTTGGTGAAGAAGGACGAATATCGGAATATTCATCGCTTTTTCGTAAATGGTTTTTCCTTTTCACTTGCTAATATACAGCTGAGGACGAACATCTCGGTATTAGTCCTTTTTTCACAGTAGGACCGCAGATTCGTCTTTCTTTCATAAAATATAAAATAAATTACAAAGAAAAAATTATGACGATACTTCAAATACCAAAATAAAGTATTCGAATCTCTCTAAATGTAACGGCCACCGGTTCAAAAGATGCAGCTTTTCATGCTCTTTCACGTGGTATCGATATCTCTTGATGACCCAATTTCCGATATTCGTCCTTTTTCCTAAGACGGTAGTACTGATCTTCATGATGAGCCTTTCACATTGTGTATTCAGCCTGTCTGTGTGCTCTTGAAGTTGCTCTTCTTTCTCATATGCCGGGCTTTGATCGTCCGCAAACAGCATCTCGTTCAGGTCTATCGGGTTGGGGTTTGCTTCTTTTGTAATTTTGTCAAGTATATTATAAATAGTAGCGGTGATAACACACACCCTTGTCTCACTCCAGATGACACGTCGAACCAGTCAGTGAGTCTGTTTGGGAGGGGACTGTGCTCATACTGTTGGTATAGATGGCTCTGATGTTGTCCAAGAATTGTCCCCTAATGCTGTACTCTTCAAGTGTTAGCCACAGTTTGTTTATATCTACTCTATCACACGCTTTTTCCTGGTCTAGAAACACAAGATTCAGTTCTTTGTTGTATGCAATTGTCCTTTAACTCAGTTGTCTAAGAGCTAAGATAACGTCTGTGCACCCTCTCCCTTTTCTGAAGCCCATCTACGCATCACTCATTCATCTATCTATGCCCAAGAAACCTTGCATTGCACTTCAGCAGGCCAGCGACCAAACAGAACGATTTTCTTTTTAAAATCTTGATCTAGTAATAAAAAGTGTTTCTCTTTGAGCCCTTATATATTAAAAACCACTCTTCAGATGCATACACAGGATCACTAATATAAATGACTTACAGTAACCTCGCCAACAAATTGCTCATTTTGAGACAGCGACACCACTCTGTCCCCACATTTCAGTGTAAACTTGTAGATTTCATCCCTCCGCTGTCTAGACATCTCCACATGCTCCAAGTGAGTATCGAAAAACCTCAACCCGCCTTTTGCTTTGTGTTTTTTTGGCATAAAATTAAAAAGTGGGCTTGAAGAAAATATGTCAACTTTTTTGCGTTTTAGGTGTATGCTGTAAATCCTCTTTATTCTTTTTACCTGCCTTAGGCTAACATGAAAGAAAATGAATCAGAACGTTAGTTAGCGGTGACCTTTATAAATGGGCTTTTAGCTTCTGTCGGTCATCCAACTTTTAGACCTGTATGCAAAGAACGGAAAAGATTGAACAGAGCAATTTCTTTTTACCTTAGTTTAACCGCCGTCAGACAAATGAACAAGCCATACATAATTTTTTTTAAGCTATTCTCAGCTACAACAAAAAATAAATAATATGTACAGAGATGATATGTTATGATTGTGACGCACCTGTATATCTGCCGAATTTCCATGCCTAAAAAGCTTGTGCCTACCTCAGACACAAGCACTAACAGCCACCTGACCGACCTCTCCTGACCCTGGCATACACTAAAACACGCCATTCTTATGCGCATGTCAACAACACACATGTTGGTGAGAAAAAAGGCTTCTGATCATGTGCATAAGATGTATGCAATAGGCTAGGCTAAACGTGTAATGATGTACAGTGCAAGTGTGATCAATGGTGTCTTGGAATAGAGTAGGTAAGATTCGTTACGATTTCGTTAAATCCAGTTTCGCTCATTTATGTGTTCATTGAATCATTGAATCCGACTTATTTTGCTGATTTTTATTAATTTAAAAAAACAGAGAATCTGTCTTGTTTCATTGAAACTGAGTTTTTGTTGAATCTGTGTTGGACTGTACTGCATAAAACAATAATCTGTCCAATGCAACCACAGCCATAATATTTTATCAACCCCCCACAAAACATGTCTAAAATGGCCCAGCAAATCTCTTATAATCTGATGTGTTGCCATAAATTATATATTATCGCTCCTAACGCTGTGGACAAGCTGTTATAGTCCATTCACTTGCCGTTTCTGTTAGTCACTTCAATAAATGAACCAATTATGTTGCATAGGTCCTTCCTAATATTTACCCAAGTTGACAAGTCAGTAATAAACTTTTGGCTGCTGATGAAGGAGGCGTGTGAACCGTCATTATCCAGAAACCCCATTCACAATGCACCAAACACAAATCATTAGTGAGAAGAGCATTCCCTCTGTTTACCCAGTCGGTGACAATGGACGTCAACATCAACTGCTTTATTTTACCTTTGAACTGCACACTGTCTTCATCATCTGATACACTATGTATAATCTAACATTAAAAGCAGACACAAAACCCTTTCCAAAAGAAATTTTAAAAAAATGTTTTTTAATTTAAAGGGCTTTACTGCAGTCCTAAGCCTGCCAATGCATCCGGTTGGCACCTAAGAAAGGAATGGTTCGTTTTCTTTATTTTGATCAGTCCTGCCTAAGACGGACACTTTTCTCGACAATGGATGGCCATCTTAGACAGTTTCAACTGTAATCCACTTTACTTACTTCAACATATGAAAAGTGAAAGGTTACATGTGAGGCATGATGACAAAATGAGTTGCTTCTCTGATTTTAGCCCAATGGAAATAGATATGTCAAATTTATAGTTTGAATTTTTACAATTTAAAAGTATGAAATGATAAAAGACATGTTAAACTTGAAGAGAATGGCATTAGTTTAGAAATAACAAATGTGACCATTGTGTCAATTTCTGGCTGATATCTCCATCCATGGATTGCGAGAAATAACTCATTTTTTAAGCACAATTTTAAAAAATAGAACAAAATGGGAATGATGGCAGTCGGCACCTTAAACAGGGTGAAATACAGTTCTGTTCCTACAGGGAACACAGAAAGAAAACAAGAATGACCAGGCTTTTTTCGAACTTTAGCTTACTTGCACAACTGGGAAAATGTGAATGAAATCCAAGCCCTGAATCTGATGAGGTTCAATTCGGTGGGGACACTTCATCCTTGGAAGGACAGCCACAATAGATTCTGTCAAAGAACTAAAATGGAAAGAAATGATTAGCAATTTAAGATCATGGCAAAATATTTTTCATCATTCTTTCAGACAATTCTTATTACCTGAATTGATCAATTCTCTGTCACTGGTTGCATTTTAGTAGCAAACTCGTAAATGAATCCCAGCTTTAACTTCAAAATAAAAACTACTTTCCAAAATATTAACAAAGAGAAAAATGCAGTTTTTAATCAAACTAACTTGGAAGAAATCATCATGCTCTAGGTTTCTATCCTTTACTCGTAGTGTACCTGAAAAGCTTCTGCATCAAAAAGGTGTAAGTAAAACAATTTTTGCAAAAGTCTTTAAGTCAATAAGGATGGTCAGTGCTGAGACTAAACCTGTCCAAACCACAAGTGCTGCACAGTGTGGTCCATTTAGTGTGATATTCATAGTGTGATCCTCATATTGTGATATTCACAGTGTACAGAGTGAAATCCAAAGAGTGATCCATAATATGATATTCACAGAGTGATCCTAATAGTGTGATATTCATACAGTGATCTTCCTAAAAGTGTGATATCCTCATAGTGTGATAGTTATACTCTAACTACATTGCTACAGGTTTATGCTTCATCCAGAATGGTCCTTAATCTAAAAATTCACACACCTGCCATCAAAAATGTGCCAAGGCGATGAAATGGTCTATCCAATTTCATGACTATTTCCTCATTTTTGGCTACAAAATTAACCAACCTCTGACACAACCTATCTGCTCTCTCCCAAAAAGATATTGATAATTTTGGCAGAGAAATGCTGCCCCCCCCCCACCCACCCTAAAAAAAAGGGATCAATAAATATTCCTTCCCTGAAGTTCAAAATGTTATTTGGTGTCAGTCAGTCTGTCATATTTTTAAAGTCTAATTCATTTCATTATTTAATTTTAACTAAAAAAGGATTTTTCTCTCCCTTTCAACATAAATGACCAGGTTATAGACAACAGAAAACAATACACTACAGCAATGGCACAAAAACAACTTACATTTTCTGACCAATGGTCGAGTTTTCTTGGAACAACAAGTCAACATCAACGTCAAAGTTGCAAGTTGTTATGCACCATGTCATACCTCCAACAACCTTAGGATAACAAATATTTTGAAACAAAGAGTGGTAATTGATACCTCAGTTATTACCAGAGTAGTATCAAAGAAAGTGAACAAAACACTTTTAATGATAGTGTAAGAATGTAAATCAGATTCTTCATTTATAAAAAAAGTTTATTCCAATGACTCTTGTAACGAAAATGAAGTGAACAGAATGTCACATTGTATTTAAGACTACAAAATAAAAATGTAGCTTTACAAAGTAAACATTTTCAGAGAAAACAATCCATGACACAACCAGCTATTAAATCTACCAATGATACATTTTCTCCCCTTTTTAAATATTTTGACCACAGGTATTAAAATGAACTCACACAAACCGATATCTCTGTTTGTCAACATTCCAGAATTCAGTTGGGTTTTTTTTACAAGCTCCTTTCTTTTTCCTTTTCTGAGCACAAAAAACATGATATTTTGAAAAAAAAACATTCATAAAACATGTGCCCATAAGTATTTGGCATTCTTTACCTTATCGAAAGGAGAGAGGCCTTTGATACGAGCCCTGAAATACCCTGCAGCCAAAAGAAGGTCAATTGTTTGCTGCAGTTTGACATTCTGCTCTTCATCTTCTCTAGTCTCAACCTGATGGAAGAAATAAAAACTTATACTTTTATTAACCATTTATACCTTCATGGAAGTCCTTAAAATTTTCAAATTGTCTGTTGCAATTTAAAATGTGTCCTTTTGTTCCAAACTCAAATGCCAATATCTTGGCAGTCATTAAGGTTTCCTGATATGCACACAACAGGATGTTCTTGATTTTAGCACCCCAGGTCAATAACCTTGCTGAAGAATTGAATCCTGATGGTAGTGGCTATTTTCTGGCTTTTTGGAAACCCAATCAGCTACCATTCCAGAAGCAAAAGAAAAACAATTGACATGCACCTCTGAACAAAATTCACAAAAAAGCTGTCTTTTTGTACCTCAACTGGCCACTAATGCATCTAAATTTTTTAGATATAATGTCTGGAACATCCATTATGAATGTGTCATGGAAAGACGATCTTTTGTCAGAGTGCAGTTGTGGAAGAAATTCTCATGTAGGGTCAGCCATATAATGCTTGATACAATACATATGATGTAGATCTAATGCTTCACATCACCATCCTTTAAGCTTTTGAAATGAAACCAATGGTCATTTTCTTAAAGTTAGAGCCTGCTAGGAGTATGGTCAGTGAAGGAAGAGTCAAAGCATTCATTTTCCCCAATCTATTTCCCAAGAAATAAGTATGGGGAAAGCATGGCATCGATAATCGATAATGAAGTGGTTAGACTTCAATACTTGCAATCATTAGAAACTGCGAGTTTGAGGGTCCAAAGCTCAGCTCGATCCGACGTTGTGTCCTTGGGGAAAGAAACTTTACACAGATATAAATGGTGAACAATCTTGTAACAGTGACTGAGTGCTTAATGAGCTGCTTGCACTGTATGCTTCCTGGGAAGCAAAAGAATGTTTCTGAGTGTTCCAGGGTCTGCTGGCATTCAATATAAATTAGTGGTCATACCAGGGACTGCTGGCACTGATCCTCTAAAACTCTACTAGATCTAGATCTAGATTCTAGATCTAGAATAACAATTTTGGAGAGATAAGCGAAGTCATTCCGTCACACATAATTTTGAGGTGTGACGAGACGACAGTGAGACTGTGTGAGTGTGACGAAATGACCGGTTTCATTGTAACACTGCTAGCCAAGAAGAAATTTAAGTAAGTAACCTATCATGTATGTCTTGTCTGCATTGGACCAATATGTATTTTATAGTCGAGAAAAAGTCAGTCTAATTTTGTGATGGGGGGCGAGGACGAGGGGAGGGGCAGATGTTTTCACAAGTTAAACTGGAACTTTACAATTCGTAAGATACTGATAAAAAGCGCAATACATCGCTCAAGATTCATAATCCTAAGAAGTGTAACACATCCAATGTATTATTTTGAATATCTCACTTCAATCGGGTTGCCATCAGCGTCAACAGAGGCATATTTTTCGGATCCGGCACGTAATCTTCCAGCAAAAATACTACCAGTGGCAGCCGCCATTTTGAATAAGTCATGTGACACTTTGACCCAATGCTGGAGGGAATCCTGACCTAAATTTTGTGAACATCCAAAAATAGCTGTATAAACAAAGTAATTTCATTGGCTCACAAGACTCAGCCGAGTTCGACCAGTCTACAGCTGTGGTGTGATCATCGTATGTCGGTCGGCCGCGTTATCACTTGACTCTTCTGTTGTTGTTTTTGGCATACGGCAGCCTGCTGATAATACTAGACTACAAAAGTTGGTCTTTATCAGTGCTTCAGTATTAGTTTAAAGGAATCTTTCAGAGGTATGTTAAACAAGATTTGTGTTCGTATTTGTTGTTGTGTAGAATCTAGAATCTAATCTACTTGTATTGAAGCTGAAAACACAGCAGTTCCCATCACCACTTCTGTCAAATTCAAGGTTGACGTTGGCGTTGCCAGCTCTGCAGTACAAGCGACGAGCGTTGTTTGCGTTTGGGCCAGGAATCTAGAACAAGGAAGCCTGTGGAGCCGTCTCCTTGTAACTTGTTCTCCAGGATAACAAACCAATTCTTTTCATACACCGTTTGCGGAGGATACAGATGTATTCTTAATCTAGATCTAGACTATTTTTTGTGTAAGAATTGATGCTGAGTGGTACACGTTCAGAATGGCTTTCGTCTAGACTAGAATCTAGAATAAAACTATCTCTTGACGTCTTGACTTTGCTTTGCCTTGTCCGGTGGGCAAATGGCTCACCACCCCTCCAAGTCCAAGCCTGGAGTAGAACCACCTCGCGAGTGCAAGCCAGCTGGGTCCAAGGACAGGGCTTTTCTAAATCTAGTCTAGATATATAATATAATAGAGTCTAGGCAAGCTCTAGCAAAAGCCTGACTGGTAATGACCAGCCCCCCACCCCGACCTTTTCCACTTTGAGTTTCAAGTAGTCTAATTTTGTGCTAATTATCTAGACTATATATGTTGGGCGCGATCTATCAACCGCGCAGCGCATTTGGTTGATCGAGGAAACGCGCGACAATCCATCGATTGTTGCGCATTCTGTTGGTCAGCAGATCGCGCAGCGCTTTTTGTTGATCCGTTTGGTTGCGCATTCTATAGATCTTACCCCTGAGTTTTGTAATGTTTTGATGTCGTCCAGTGTGTAATTTAGTTTCACTCTCCAAAGTCAAACCGAAACTGAATGGAAGTAACTGGAAGTGGAAGTCAGGGTTACAAAACGAACTAAAATCGAAGTGACAATTCGAGTCCGAATAGACAAAAATTATATTCGGACTCTGATTTGAGTCCAGTATGATGTCCGTTTCGACTTCCGACCCTTGTTTCTAAATATTTCCAGCATATATATTAACATTTTTTTCAATTATAATGATAACAATAGAGACGTGAGCTTTAATATCCAGTTACTAGATCTAATCTAGATCTAGATCTATCTAAACTGGCCCTCCCTGCGTCGTCATTAGTATGAACAAAACTTAAGTTGAGCTGACCTTGCCGGGGGCAAAGTTAATTGTTTCGACCAATGAGACTGCGCGTAGCGATATCGCACTCTCAGCTTATAAGGGGGAAGAGGTGTTGGAAAGGGGCCACGGCTGTCGGTTTTGTGCGATGTGATTTTTTAAAAAAATACAGAAAAACTCAACACTCAACAAAATCAAATTAAACATGTGGAAAGAAAAATGGTAGCGGAAGTAGCAATGATGCTGTAGTGGTGGTGGAAAGACCCTGAGTTGTCGGTTATCGTGTACTTAGACACTGCTATTGGGTAGATCTAATGAGAGTGCAATCAGGGTTAGGCCTACACTTTTATAGATCGGTGAGTATCACTACGAACACTTATTCAATATGGAGAGTTTGGTTGTGCTCGAGGTGCTCTTGTTCAAGGAAACAATAAAGAAAACAATACTTGTATATAATAAATGTTTAATCAACACACAAAAATTTATCACTAGCCATTAAATTTTGACCGTATTTGGAATACCACGTGAAGTACGCAGCCAATCACATCCGTCCAAATACTGAGTTCAGGTGCTTGATTTAACGTTGTGTCAATTTAACCGCCTCACTCAACCGTCAACACTTTAGTTCATCACACAACTCTTCTTGGATGCTCAAACTCAAAGACTGACGTGCTCAGTTATACCAATTTTCTTTTTTTTTTATTCACTTCACCATCATAGATCTAGTTTATCGACAGAATGCGCAGTGAGTATATTTCACGGAGCGTCAAAAAGCACTGCGCGATCCGCTGATCGACAGAATGCGCAATAATCGATGGATTGTCGCGCGTTTCCTCGATCAATCAAATGCGCTGCGCGGTCGGTGGATTGCGCAAATCGACAGATAGCGCCCAACATATATAGATCTTTATGTAGATCTAGATATTTAGATTCTAGATCTAGTAGGCTACTTCATTATATCCGTGACTGAAAGCTGTCTCATTCTTTATGATGTGTAGATCTAGATTTATTTTAGTTGTAAGCTAGGCCTATCTCTAATTCTCTCCTTCTTTGCAGATCCACTTTAAAATTCAAACTTTTCTTTCGTTTTTTTAAATTCCTCCTCAGTCCACAGGAACTGTTTATGTAGGGTTATATGATAAATCGCCTATTTAATTTCTTATTATTGTCTGGAGGAAGTCATCCGCATGGGAAGGAAATGGTCAATGCAACTCGATTTTTAATTATAAACCTTCTGCCCCCTGTTAAAATTAAACCAAGTTCAGTGATAATGCAATAGCCTACTCGGAAATATATGAATGAAAGTCAATCTACTTCTGCCTGAATAGTCCTTTTTGCCTGGTACAGTGGAAAGGGTTTGAGGGTGTGGTGGCGGAGCGGTTAGTACACTCGTCTCTGAAGCAGAAAGTCTGGGTTCGAGCCTCGGTTCAGGCACAGATTTTTTTTTCGGCCCCTCCTGCCCACCCAGCAGTAATGGGTACCTGACTTTGAGTTGGGGAAGTAAAGGCGGCGTGGAAAGGAACTGGCCACCCTACCACAATATGCTGAAGGTCCAGGATGTTGTCTCACTAACAAGGCAATCCTCAATGTCCGAATCGGATGCGGGAACAACTTTTTTACTTTTACAGCAGAAGACCGTCAAGTACAAAAAAATTGTGGTGGTTTGTGAAGTGGACTGGCACTGGTGATTTGTAATTTGTCTTGGACAAGTGGTTGGTAGAGAACAGGATTGACTGTATTTTTCTCTCTGTTAATTTGAGGGAGCATTGTGTGATCATTTTGTCTCTAAAATTAAAATTTGATTAAAATACTAACAATCTTTAATGTTGTACTTTTTCTAGGTTCGTCGGATTCGCCATCATTTTTCTTGACAAAGGAGAGATTTCAAGGATGGGAGTGAAGTCTTTGATTGCAAGAGGATCTGTTCTGTTCTCAATTGGAGTATTTTTTGCTTTGGTTCTAAATCTACTCCAGATTCAAAGACAGGTTACTGTTTTTCCCCCAGAAGTCCTTGCTAGTCTATTTTCATCAGCATGGTGGATTCCTCCAAGCTGTGGAACAGCTGCAGGTATGAAAACATATTTCCCCTCGACATTTTGTATTGATTTTGTTTGTACTGGTTTTTATTTATATATATATATATATATATATATATATATATATATATATATATTATATATAATATAATTTTGTTAGTAATTATGGTTCTTTTAACTCTTTCAATTCTGCGAGCCGTGTTTCACAGCTCTTTACTTCTGGTTTCAAAACCACACCGACTTTAGTAATAATCAAATCTGAAATCTCAGGCTGAAATATGATCGTTTTTAGCAGCATATTGATATAGTTCAGAAGGTGATTACTTCACCTTTATTTCCATATATATTACATGTGGCTAATATTGAAAATTGAACTTAAAAATATTTAATTTGTCCTACGGTAGGCAGAATCAGAAATTAGGTCACAGATAGGGCCCGGTCCAGGTGAGGAAAACCCGCTGGTAGTGAAAGAGTTAAAAGTTTGAGGTTTTGATGTTTCAATCTATTATTATCTATTTTTGTTTTTAAAATTCTTCTATGTGTGTGTGTGTATTATATTGTATATAATATTTTACAATTCCAGTTAATTTTATTTTTAGTTCCTTAAATATGTCTTATTTTGAAGAATAAAAACTTTCTATCTCTCCATTGACATATTTTGCAGAGCAAGAAAAGCTGATGTTTTTTAATGTTGTGTAAATGTTCTTTGGATTATCTATAAAACTTGATCATTGATGCTCATACCATTATAATCTAGATATAACTAATTTCTGAAGGTGTTTAACATTGTTAATTTTGGGGTTTTTAAAAAATATTTTTATCTTTGTCTTGTCCCCAGCTGTGATTGGTCTCCTGTATCCATGCCTTGACGAGAAGCTGGGAGAAGAGTTAATGTACAAAAGAGAGTGGAGCAGTGTCATGAGATGTGTTGCTGTTTTTGTAGGCATCAATCACGCCAGTGCTGTATCCTTTTCACTTTAGAGCTCTTTACATGCAAGGATGCAAATTGCTGGTTAAAAAGTCTGTCCCGTTTCGTTTTTTTCACACCCCCAGTTCAGGGATGGAGCAACTCATCCTCTAGCATTATAGAAATTACATGGAAAAAATCTAGTGACTTTGAGATCAAGTCTACATGTGGGCATTTGTCATGGCGCACCGGCAGTGGAATTTTAGTTGCAGGGGGGGTTCCCCTCCGAGGGCCTTATCACGGAGGTCAGCTCCCTGGGACCGCTCTGTCTGGGCTGACTTCATTTTTTTGTACTTTTCTATGTATAGTTTAAGGTGTGTCCATGTATTTATATATAATGGTAATTATCACTTAATGCACCTAAAGCTCGCATTTCTGCTCTTGAGACTAAAAAAAGAACGGATATTGTAACCTGTCTGGTTATTTTGTTAGACGCGCTGAAGTCGGCAATGTTAAATTGTAAAAAATTTTGGACAAGTGTGAATGAAAAAAAAATCAGTATATAAAAAAAAACGCAGGACAAAAACTCAAACTTTTTAAACATGGACGACATAACATTGGTGCAGATACTGAGAAAAGATGGTATCTGTGCATATAATAGAAAGCTGTAATTTTGCTCGAAGTAATTCCTCCTAATACAACTTTATATTTCGAATATAATTGGAAATATTAGCATATTTTCTCTAAAGTTTATAAAAATTACCCTGTACTATCTCTATTAACAAGTACAAATCGGTTTTAGTGCCAGAATGGATCTACATCGTAATACACCAACAGTTTCTGTTACAGTCCAGAAATTCCTTACTTTTCTTAAAACGCAGAGAGGTTTTGTAAGTTGACTTAATAACAGGAATGGCTTCTCGTAATTGGATTATAAGAATAGTTTCTAGCTTTCTAGTGACACTCGAATCAGCACCAGACTTTTCAGCTTTTATTTTGGTTTCTATGATCATTTACAATAACTGACAATATTCTATTTTCTATACATTCATAAAAGTATCTGCGCATATTTCCGACACAAAAACTAAGAATTAATGTGTTTAGCTGTATTTATTTTTTTTAATACAAGAAGTTTATCTCTACCCATGTATTTACACAGTTTTGTGTTTTTTTTAAATCGCGTAGTAGAATCTCTTTCTTAGTTGTATGCAGGCTGTCACAGACACAACATAATTCATGAACAAACGCAGAGTAACTTTCTCTTGTTTAATGGTAATGCAAGAGCTAACGCTGAGTGTCTTTAGTAAAAAAATGCAGATGTGGATCTTTCTTCTCTTATAACTTGATTATTAGTAATTGCTCAGGTTTAAGATTTCTCATGGTAAAAGACATGACATTCATAGTCAGTTTTACACAGATTTTGGAGAGGTCTGTCATGCTGTTTTTAAATAAACAATAATTTATTCATAAGTATATTAATAAAATAGGACAAATTGGGTTCTCTGCAAACACTTGTCTATAACAAAAACTAAGGCACAGAAATTAACCATTTCAATGCAAAATTAATCTCAACACATTGAGCTTTTAGTACTTCAGTGTAATGGTTTGCTGTGTGGGATGGGGAAGAAGGTATCGTTTCAAACTTAGACAAAAATACAAACTTCTTAACGACACCTGCAAATGTCGCTTCTGCGCTCATTAACCCTGTGACCCTGAGCCGGAGAGCTCCAGCGGGCTGCTGGGTCACACTAACTAAAAGTAACAGAATCAGGCGAAAAGTGATGCCATTTTGTAAGATATGACTCGGCAGTGAAATATTGATGTGGAAGACATGTGCCCTGACTGGTTGCCTTCATATTCCTCTTAATAATTGCTTGCCTTTAACAAGTTACGAAGTTTCAAAACTATATCGTCTTCCAGGTGTTCAGATGCACTAAACACAAAATCTTGAACTTTCATCTCAGTCTTACTATGTCGTTCGGTTGCATATGCTTTAAAAGATACTTTGTTAAAGTTAAAATTACAAATGTTAAAAAAGGGCAAGAAAATATACATAATAGGTAATAGGTATAATTGTTAAATGAATGAAACAATTGTTTTTTCTGTCTCCTTGGAAATTTTTGCTTTCCGGGCTTACAACATTTGAACAGCTTGCCGACGATATTGTGCGATGTTTGCCTGCCGGAGTGGCATGTGATCTTGTAGCTTTTTACATAAATTGTAAGATTCGGTCACTAAGTTGAAGGATTCAACTCTTTGTACGTATACTGTTTGCTCTTTCTAATTTATGTTTTACGAACTTTCTTTAACCATTGACCAGAAAATTGATTTTGCCAACAACATTCAGCTGTCAGTTAGCCTTGCAGCCATGTCGATAGGGCTGTGGTGGCTGTTTGATCGCTCCAGGTCAGGATTTGGCTTGGGAGTAGGTATTGCGGTCCTGGCAACTTTTGTCACCCAGCTCCTAGTCTACAATGATGTGTACAGGTATGATTTTAGATTGAAAAACTTAAAATGTTTATTTCAGTCTAGAATGTCTTTCCCAATCAACTTTCATCAGTGGACGATCAGATTTAGATAGTGCTATATATTGTGCTTTCCAGGGCACACTGTTCAGCGTATATGAGAGTAAAGCTCAGGATTTTCATTTGCTTGTCAAGGAAGTATCCATCCTACTGTATTGGCAATGATGGTAATTTGGTATGCCTGTGACCAGGGCACTAGGCATGTGGGATGATAAGAGGTCATGATCAAAATGTTATCTCCTCTAAGTCAGTTGCTTCAGGTCATGCAGCCATAACTTAAGTACTGATAACCCAATTTTTCATCTTTTTCACAAGTGTGTGCGTCAGAGTAGGGCCTATTTATTTTTTCTGTCTTCTTCCTTTAGCAAAGTTGTTTTAATATGGCGCAGTGGCCTCATGGCCTGGCGGTTAGGCTCTCAGACTCAGAACCTAAGGCCATATTTAGGTCCTTTTATCCATGGGAAGCTTTTAATGTTTTGGTTTTGTCTGAAATTATTTGTATGACATGAATCACTTAGTCTGGGATATTCCCTGCTTAATTAATCTTAATAGAGTAGGAAACTATAAATCTAAAAATAAAGTGTGTAAGACAGTGTATGAAGTTGACTTTAATTTATGAAGAAGGCAGAAAGTCATTCACATAGATGTTGCTAACAATATTAACATCGAAATAGTACAATTTTTATTGAAATGGTACAATTTTGGCGAAGCGGTCATTTAAATTATTCTGTGTACTTAGGTCTTGTTGAATGCATTATAATAATCAAATCTTTTTTTTGATTTAAGGCCAGTGGGTTGACTTTCATTTAACATATCTGTATCTGTTGTGTAATAGTTACATGCACATAAATCTTTAAAAGACCAATGCATGCCAAAGATGGAAGTTTGATTCCTGTTTGTGGAATTTTATTTTAATTGAGCATCTCCATCTTTTTGCTGGGGTGTTGTAGCCCATGCAGCATACAGTCTACGTTGGCCCTCACGGGCAAAGTCGAAGCAGCCAACCTCTTTAGTCATTTAGTGGGTCGATGGGGACGCAGTATAACATTTGCATCGTTTTATGGTGGAACTTTGCACATGGTTTACACAGTGCTTCTTGGCAGTCTTTTTTTATGTTGAGTTATGAAAAAATAATTTGATTGATCTGGGGGGAGGGGGGGATACATTTTAAACAGATTATTTGCTGTTTTGTATCATGCATTTTGTCATATTGTTTCAGATACACTGAGCCAGATTTTCTTTTTGTCCGATCTTGGCTCCCGTGTGTGTTTTTCTCTGGAGGAGTCACAATGGGGAACATAGGACGACAGCTAGCCACAGTAAGTGCCTCATTCAGTTTGTTCCATTATTGTGCAATAATTTATCTCCTTCTTTCTCCATTCTTCTTTCTTGTTTCTCAAAGTTTGTCTTTTTGTTCTTTTTTTTGTATTTAAAGTTCATTTTCATTTGACTTACTACTCTTTAATGTTTTATGCATTCTGGTTGCTGCAGCAAATATTAATTGTCACTATCTTTCATTTACATTTTTAACCATAATCCTTTGAGAGATTCATATCATCATAAGAATCACATTCCGTCCCACCCAGGGTAGTTTTCGTCATTACCAGCATCTAATTCAGAAAGGTCTACAAAATAATCAGTGACGTCCTGTGTAGCAAACACTGTTTTATGTGCCCGTTTTGTAACAGGCAGGCTGGTTTTGGATAGGGTCCCGCCCATTGGTGTACAAGTAGCTAGGCATGCATTCAATTTTACGCACCCCTGGTGTACCGGAGGCTAGAGCTCAGAGGGTTGATACGTGGATGATAGAGGTTGTTTTTTTACCTTACACTTACATGATTTTCAGAATTGACATACTGCCAAATACACCGTAAACTGGAACTTTGAATGAACTTAGTCAGGCTTTCCAACTGGAACTATCTTTTCAGATTTGTTTTTAAAATTCCATTTACTTTGTGACAAACTGCTTCTGGTGTTTACATTGAAGTGTAAGAGTAGGAGAAGGAGAAAGCGCCGTTGTAGCCGTGCCAAATGGATGTGTCATGGGGTTTTATTGGTATTTGTTCTTTGTTCACCTTTGCGGGTGGTTTATTTCTCTAACAAAAATTGAATATGGCTTGATCCAGGAGGGGAGACAGGCGCGGTTCGTCCATCGTGCAGTGCTGCCCAAAATTGTAATGTTCTATTACGTAAAACACCTACAATAACAAAATAAAAGACGCCAGAAACAAACACTAGCCAAATATTATATCAAAATACGTTTCTCACTGGCGCTGTAACTGTCATTTCTGTGTATATAGAGCCGTAAAACATCTACTATGCCATGCCAAAGTTCATGCGCTGTATCTATGCATAGCAGGATATTCAACAGTGGAAACCTGACCTATAAATCGCTCTTTGGGATAACCCAAGCGATGACGACACTCGTAACGAGTTTGGCGGTACATTAATATTAATAGGACTGCACCTCTCAAATGTGCTCCTGCCGAATAGTGCCGAAACATAGCCCACAGTAGGCAATCTAAAAATAAACGCGATAGACTGTGCACTATTCTATGTCAAAATTATGTCAGCCCCGGAGCAATCCAGTGGAGTGCTCAAGTGAATTGTGATTGGTTAATTGTCTTGCTGCTATTTTAAGTGACTCTGTGACGGTGAACATGACACACTTAAGTCATCGTCCTATAAGTTGTGCTTTTGAACGGTTTTGTAGTGGAGTGGTGAAAGGTATTACTTGAGTGTTCAGTACTAAAGCGGGATGAATGAAATTGACGTTTAGCTAACAAACAGATTTAGTTCTAGAAGTCAAAGCCACAAGTAAAAGTAAAAAGAATCAAAATAGAATCACAATAGAATCACAAGGTTCTCCCTCACCAAACCAAAGATCCTAAAATTATACACCATCTCATTTACTATGCCCTTGACTATATTCAACCTAAGATAGCTTAATTGTGCACGTCCACTTTTTAGACCCACGAGCCGCCCCTGAGGGGAGATGACTTTCGAGTTGACCAGAATAAGTTTTACTAAATTAATTCCCCTATTTTAGTACTTCAAGAACCGCCAAGGCAAGGTCAGCCTTCAAGCAATTATTAAAAGTCTGGAAAGCAAACAACATCTCACTGCTCACCAAGATTCGACTTTTTAACTCCAACGTCAAGTCTGTGCTTCTCTACGGCTGCGAAACTTGGAAGACAACGAAGACAGTACTGAATAAGGTCCAGACTTTCATCAACAGATGTATGAGGAGTATTTTAAGAATTAAGTGGCAGGATAGAATAAGAAATGAAGAGCTGTGGGAAAGGACAGGACTAAAGGATATAGAAGTAGAAATAGGACTAAGAAAGTGCCGATGGATGGGACACACCTTAAGAAAGCCCAGCGGAAACATCACAAGACAGTCACTGCAGTGGAACCCACAGGGAGCACGAGGCAGGGGTAGGCCACGGGAAACATGGAGGAGATGCGTGGAAAGGGACATGAGAGAAATGAAGCTCACTTGGAACGAGCTTGGAAGGATGGCTCAGGACAGAGATAAATGGAAGGAGCTTGTATGTGGCCTATACCCTGCCAGGGGTGAAAGGCATTGATGATGATGATGATTTTAGTACTTAATTGATATAACAATAATTATTATTTCAGATTTCTTCATATTATCATATGTGTGTGTGCCTGGTGAAAGGTACCAAATAACGCATTTAGTAGAATTCCAGTTTATTGTTTGGGTTTCTTTCGGGGGGGGGGGGGGGGGGGGTTGTGCAGTTTCATGCACAGAGATTATTTCTGAATAATATTCTTTTTGAATATTTAAGATATCTTCTGTAGTTTTTGAGATAAGGGTGATTTTGTAAGGCAGGGTTCAGAAACAAAGTTGTGAGAAAAACGGCTTTAGCTTCCCCTTTGTTTCTGCTTCAAATAGATAGATCTGCCCTTTGAGACGACCTGACAACACATTCGCTACTCACAAACCAACTTTAAAAAGCAGCTAAGATAAAAGAACAGCTTCAAAGTGTTTATTTTTCGTCCTTAAAACAAATTCACCACCACCTTGAACAAGAATTTTCAAGAAATACAGGGTGATCCGAAAAAACTGTAGGCCTACTTGTTTAGTAAATATCTTCCTCTATACTGAAGTTTTGTGTTTCAGATTTATAACATTTGGAAGCCAAAAGGAATTTGTTTGGTATGCATTTTAGATAAGTCCATTGAATGGTTTTGCTCTATGTGGCGCATTTAAAGAAAAACCCTTTTCCAACCTTGTCGCCAATTTCATAGCATGACACACCCATTTCTGTGTGTATTTTACTGAAAAATGTTGATTAAAGACATTAAAGATGTAAGTTTTCAGTTTCCACGAACTCTTTGTCTAAGAAAATAACTCAACTTTGGCAGCCATTTTCTTGCTAATTTTAACTCTGAAACAAGGCGACCACACCTCCTTGAATCGCCAATATCTTGACTTGCATTCAAGGTAAATGGATATTTTTTTCCTCCTAAGCAAGGCAAATGGACAATCTTTAAGATGATACCAACCATATGCCTCCAAATTGACGAGCGCCTGGTTCCACCGTGTCGTGACACATATTTTGTTTCTTTGTTAGTAAAAGTATAGCTATTGTTTTGACAAAAACCAAAATACAAATAGCTTGTGAGTTGTGCGTCTCATTCTGAAGGCAGAGGTAATTAAAGAAGGCTTTTGAAAACCTTTTATGTTTGGTTCTGCTTTTCTTTTTTTTTATGTTCAAGTATTTTTTGCTTTGCTTCCTGGCATTGTCTTATATCTTTTTTTTTCCCACCACCCCCTAGTTTTAGATTGACTCTGCTCTTCTGCCTCTTTCAACCATAACATGAATAACTTTATAATACGTTTTTATTTTTCTGTTATTTTGACAGTATGATGGAGACTCATCCAGCACTTCACAGGCAAAGCGGGACTGAACTTTGGCATGTGACAGCAGCATGGAATTAAAGAGTTTGGATCTGATGCCACCAACATTTGTTCCCCGGAGAGGCAGACTTACTCTGGCTTGTTTATGCATAGGACTACCACTGCCCTGACCTTGCGGAGTTCCCCCTTCCCTCAACTATGCAAATTTACTGTGCATACTACATTTGGTACTTTTTCTGTGCACCATGTGTACACATTAAGAGAAGTTTCCTATATTGCCTCCTGTTCAGTCTTGCCATGTCTTCTTCTCTGTAAGCATTGGTGTATCTGTGAGCGCTCAAGGACAGCCCCTTAGTCCTAGGGCTGCAAAAGTTTGGACAACCTCTACAGAAGAAAGTGCACCATGAGCCTGTCTCATATGTTGAAATACTTTCACACTGACTATGTAGGCCTGTGTAGTTTACTGGCACAGCATATTGATGGATATGTATGGCTGTCTATCTCTCTCTCTATTCCTATATCAATCAGGCCCTGTTTCGCAAATGTGAGGAATTTTAGGGTTTGGAGAAGAGGTTTTCATTCTATGACCTCATAGTTCTACAGTTTTAAGTTGTCTGGCGTTACAACGGTCAGTTAATGTATTGCCTTAAAATTTCAACTTATATTGAAGTTGGCACTTTCTATGTGTTCTTAGTTGCTGCGAGAATAAATGAGCTTTACTGGGTTTTGCTTGTGGCTATGGTTTTAAAGAGTCTGACTAGATGAGTAATTTTCTGTTTTGCTATGGGTTTTTTCTGTTTGTTTTTTCCCCTCTTTTGCAAAAAAAGTTCACAAAGTAGCCTTTTGTTCATTTTTGATATAGATGGGTTTAGGGAGAAGTTTGACCATTTGTAAATGCTTAGAGATATAATACCATTTTGCTAAGTAGTTTTTGCTTCCTTAAACAGTAAGGGTTCGTGACTTTTGCTATTTTACCATTCATTCAACTATTGGATTAAAAACTTATTTTAAGAGAAAAAAAAAGAAAAAGGTGATGATAAGAAATAAGTAGCCAGAAGTGAGTTCAGCAATAGATATGCAATAACAGTGATCTCAAATCAAACCACTTGTTAATTCGTTCATTGTTTTGTTTTTAAAATGATACACAATGCTGTGTATCACTTCCCACTGGATACATGAATGATATTTTTACTGAATATTCAGTTTTTACTTTATATTTTGGAAGTGATTAATACACAGGCATATTGACAAAATAGGAGTGTTGTCAAGCTTCTTCATTTTTGTATGGTTTTTGCGTGTTTGAATTGTGATGGGTGTGTGAAATGACATAGAAGTAAAAGGAGGCACAGCAACTTACATTCCTTATTGGCTTATTCTAGTTCAGACTTTTAGCTTTAGACTTTTCTGTGCAATACATTTGTACTTATTTGAAAATAAGTTTCCTTATTTTTCAACAATATGAGTCCCTTGGGTTTTCTTGTAAAGCCTTTAGGCTGATAATTCTTTCCAAAAAACGTGTGGGTTTTTTTTTTTTAGGATTGTAATTGCTATGTGGCTTGCAGATATTGTTTTTCTAACAACCATGGTTAACCACCTTTTTCTGTTCTCTCGGCAGTCAATGGTATTGTATAGACATGGTCCTTTTGGCCAGTAACTACTTTCTATGACCACTCAGTACAAGAGTTTTGTGTTCTTCAACCATGGTTAGGCTTTTGAGATCTTTCCTCTCTTTTTTTGTTACTCTTGGTGTATGTATCTTAATTACTGTTTTGGTTCACTAGGTGGTTTTTGTTTAAGTTTGTTGTTAATTTATTCCATCGGACTGAACTTCAAAATGATTTCATGCTCCATAAATTGATTTGCAATATATGCAAGTTATATACTATAGTTCAAAAATTGATTGAGTGAAAAGGGCACACTCCTCTCCCCCCACCCCCCACCCCTCTCTCTCTCTCTATCTATCTATCTTTCTCTCTCTCTCTCTCTCTCTCTCTCTCTCTCTCTCTCTCTCTCTCTCTCTCTCTCTCTCTCTTTCTCTCCCCCTCTCCCTCTTCCTCTCTCTCTCTCGCTCTTTCAGAATACTCAACAACATGTTTGACATGCTTCAGGTTCATGATCATGGACCATGTTTGGTATAGCATTTTTTTTTCCTTCCAAAATTTGTGTACTCAGACTGGTGTGGGGTTTTTTGTTTTGGGTTTTTTTCTTAATTGGGGGGCACTTTAACTTTAAATGTTCATGTTGTAAACAGAGCAACTAGGATGTCAGTATTTTGTCAAAAATATAAGATTTACATATATCCTTACCAAGACTCAAGGAAGGCCTTTGTTTTGAATGCCAAAAAACAACTGGAGTGATGCTGAAACCATTGAAAGGATGAGTCTGTAAAATGTGAAGTGGATAATTTTATTTTTTGGATACAAGTAGTGTGCCCTGTATTTTTTTCATGACCTGGCTTTTGACTGTCACTGAGTTAAGAGGGTGCATGATTTGGCAGTTGAAATATTAAATTTTGAAGAGCTTTAAAGTCCACACAGTCATTTTTTGTTATGTGATTAGAAGGCTCCAGAAAAGTACTTTTACTGTGAACAAGAAATACTGGGTATCCATTTTTTAAATTTTTTTTCTCATATTTTGGGTTGGGGTTTTTTTTAAATCATTTTGTAAATGTTATTGTTTTCCATATTCTGAGAAGGGTAACATAAGTTCCAGAGTATGTACTTTTTCAAGTTTTCAATTTGATTTTATGTCTTTTTTTAGAATGTGAGGTATCGTGGTGAAATCAGTCGCTCATAAGAACAAAGAAATCAATTAAACTAGCATTTTTCTGCCAGTTTGGCAGGTTTTATCTTTTTTATTTAATTTTAGTTTTATGACTCAACGCCTTTCATGTCCATATAAAAACACATTTCCATGTGAATTTTGCTGAAAAACATTGATATATATAAGGCTCAAAATATTGAAGTTACCAAGTTTTTGGCGGCCATTTTCTCGCTAATTATACCACTGAAACCAGGCGACCCCACCTCCTTCAGTGGCAAATATCTCGACTTCTATTTAAGAGAGATGGGTATTTTTCTCAATGAAATTAAGGCAAATAAATAAGCTTTCAGATGATACCAGTAGCTCCATTTGCCGAATAATTGAAGAGGGTTGATTCCACCATGTCGTGACATATATATTTGATTAATTTGATAGCATTTTCATCCTTCTTCCAAACAAGTATTTTTGTTTTCGGTTCCATCCATTCACTTCCGTTCCAATTGTTAGGTGCTGCTCTTTTAAACAGTCTGTGAATCTCATCTTCCAAAGAAGCCATTAGGGCTTACTTTTGATGAATCTTCATTCTTCTTATACTTTAAGGATTATAGTGAGCTATTCCACTCTTTCTTACAATGTAGGCCTACAATTCGCTCGCTACTCTTTTTGTCACACCTATCCATATAGCTGGTAAGTGTTTTAAGTTACATGACTCCAGAAACTGAGGTCCGTTCCTGGCGTGAAAAGTACACAAATTTACAGTTTCCTCAAAGGCTAGTAGCGTGCAAGCTGCCAAAGGTTTAATAGTCTCCGTTTGGAAAGTGGCGCATGACGGTGAGCTAAAAACAAACTAAGCAGTGCTAATCAGAACTTTGATAGTCAAGTGCCAACAGATTCTAATCCCAGTTCCTTTTTTTTTCATTTGTTTGTTTTGATGGATAGTTCATTAGGTTGTTTTGTTTTTTTAGAGCGGCATTTCACTTATCTCTCATAGTGAAGTGTTCATTTTTGTAAATTTATCAAGGGTATTTCTCTACCCTTTGTGTTTGTTGTAAAATGTTTAGGATGTGTTTTGAATGGAAGGTTAAGTAAATCGAGAAGTTGCATTATTCCTACATCAAAAAAGCAAGCAAACACAAGTGTACTTCTGCTGATCAGAACAGAAATAACAATAATGTGAGAAGGAATGACTGACAGTTGTTGAAGTCAAATATCTCCTTGGACCTTTATCCTTTTTGTTTATTGAGAGGACAGTAATGTTTGCCCAAAAGACTTTTCATCACTGTTTTCAAAGTAAATCCCCTTGTTATTTAACATATGAAATGGACTTTACGGCACATTGCATGTATCACGCTCAGCTGCGTAGTCAGGTTACTTCCAACATCACAAACATGACAAATACGGTTGTCTGGTCTTGCTAGGGCATTCCTTTTTTTTGGATTATCGGTCTGGCAGCTATGGATATGTGATATCTCTCTCATCTTTCTATAAAAGTTTTATCTTTTCAAGGTAGTTAATAATTCATCTTAGTCAAGCCATAGACTTGTGTTTTTAAAGATGTTTACAAGATTTTGAAACTGCCCTCAAAATGTTATTACTTTATGTCAAATATGTTATTTGAGAACTTAAATAGACCCACCCTTTCTTGGCACCTGGCTGTTCACCCCTCTAAAGCTCCCATGGTACTTATCATTGATGGTTCACTCCCAGTATGTACGGTTTTGATTACAAACACCAGTTCTCTCTGTTCAATTCTAGACTGTAATTTTGAGCTGTCACCTGGGGGTGTAGAAGTACTGATTGCTGGAGATCTTTGGAAACCAATTATCAGAAAAGCTCACCATTTCTTTTACATATTTGTACATAGTTCTGATTCTTGTGCCAGGTTTATATGTGCATGGTAAGAATTCATATCATTTAAAACATTTTTTTGACAAGCCTTGAGTTGGGATGGCTCTGTGTAACATTTTCTTGTAGACATATGATGTATTGATGAGAGGCACCAGCTTTACTTTTGCTTGAACTGAGGAAGATGTTTTGACCCTACCCTCAGCTGGGGTTTCTTTTTGTCATTTTATATAACAACTGTAGGTTCAGGGTTCTGTGGAGAGCACATGGTGCACCTCGTGAAAATTTAGAATTGTCATGTGATGTCATTTGACTTTGAAATTCAGTTTGTTATAAGTGAAATCATGACAAGTAAGTGAAATCTTTCTACTCTGATAAAGTGGCTTTGAGTGCTCATCATTAAAGCATGCAGCACGTCTTTGTTGTATTGCTGGGTTTCTAAACACTGAACTAATTGGGCTTTGACCAGGAATGCCGTTTAGACTTCGGCTTTCCTGATGTGTGCAGTTCTGTGATTGACAAGTCATAAAGATTAATTGTGGTTGTTTAAGTTAAAGTAAATTTAATGAATGTGTATTGTGCATGAATTGTTCATGCATTCTTTGTGGATCATACCAAGTGCTTTCTCTTGGCATATCAGTCTTCATCTTGTCGTGTGCATAGTCTGCAGTTGGCTGTGGACACTGACAAGGACTGAAAGCCAAGTTCTCGCCTGTGACCAGTTTTCCAATTGCAAACATTTTTATAACCAGATAGTTGATATTTGAAGCTTATATTGCAGCTAGAAACATTAAGGCTGATTACCCTGCTGCTTTTGGGCATGATGCAGGTGTGCCATTCAACAAAACTGGGATTGTACTCGCTTTCTCTGAATTTGTTTACAGCTGTTGGTCAACATTCTCAAACAGGTCTGTTGTAGACAGCCAGAGTAACCCGTCTTATAGTTTATGGTCTAATGTTGTAGCTGTCAGTATGCTCAAGCTAAAGCAACCAATGCAAAAGTATCATACAGGGAATATAACCACAGTATTGCATTTTGTCAATCGCTGTTGTTGTGGGTCGTTTTGTTTAAATTTGAAGTGTACTCTTGATGGTTTCAGTATACTGTTGCTCTTAGTCTTTGGGGCAATTTTTAATAAAGTTTTTATTGAATATTAGAAAATAATAGCCAGTAGTCTGAGACAATGGTAAGATAGCTTTTATGAAGAGTGTTGCTTTTGGACATAGATCTATGTCATTCATGGAAGTTATTGTGTGAATCTGATTCAATGTCTTTGTTTCGCTATGTGGACACCAGTCCTTATCAAACCATGTAAATAATTAATTACTATTATGACAGTCTGCTCTCTTCTAATGAGCTCAAGAATGATGATTGGCTTGTAATGCTTGTCAAGCTTTTTTAGCTGGGGTGACTGGTTTCATGTGTAATAAATGTAGAAACTGTTGATAAAACAAATATGTTTTCAAAACCATAACCTGAAATAATGCTGATGATTTTTGTCTGACAGGCCTGGCATTATTTGCTCAGTTCAGAGGCCTATGATTGGTTGTCTGTGAAAGCCAACTGTGGCGGCTGTGTAAGAAGTGTAACGCTCTGAGAATGCCACACTTGTTGAGTCATGTGAAAAGTTTCCAGTCATTGGTCATATTTTCCATGACCTTGTCTCAAGATATCCCAGAATGCATAATTTGTGTCGTTATTTGCGTAACTATGATAAAATTTGTACATACATGTTGTGAAAAAGTTTGCACTTTATGGCAATGTTCCAATTGTGTACAATTCTAGTGATGGGAAAAATAAACCAAAATAAAATTACCAGTCTTCTCAATGTTTATTACTGTACAGTACTTTACCTCTATTTAGCTCATTTGAGATTTTCATGTCAATGTTGGTTCAAACGTATTTTAACATTGATCAAGTGACTGGCCTTTTATTTCTCAATGGGGAATCAAACGGTTGATGTACACTGGGCTTGACAAAAATATAATAAAATTGATAGAACCAACTCTGAGGGCTCTCATAGTCTGTAGGTTACTGTGTTGGCCCCTCTGTCAAAAGGTCCAAGGATGGAAACCTGCCAGCGACAAAATTTATTTTTTCTCTGAATGTTTTTCATTTGTCCTCCTTTCCTGTTCTTTAATCTTATTCTGTCATTTGCCTTTTTCCCCACTCTGTCACCCCCCCCCCCCCCCACTCCTCTCTGCTCTTCTTTCCTGTCTGACTCTTTCTACTGCTTCTCCCAGCCCTTTCTTACTGCTGTCTTTCAGCCACACCCCTGATCTCAGAGTAGGTAAGATTAGAACAGGGTGGTTGGTGGGGGCTCTTTCTTTCCTGTCATCTATCATCCTTATCCTTCCTTATTGTGTGTTTATTACTCCCTTGTAATATCTCTAATCTTCGGCATTATATGACCTAATTGTATTACAAGTGCTGTAAAATGCTTACCAGTACTTAAACAAACACCTAGCCTTTTCAGATAAGGGCGAAAAATCTCGGAGATACTACTGTGTACAAGTTGAGCACGTTAAAGGTCCCTTGGTGGTTCTAAAAGAGATAAAAATAGATTTTTGCTGCCACCCAAGCAAAGTTAAAAAATTAGATCTGTCACATTGGCCCTGGATATTACTTTATGGTGGCCCACAGATTGATAAATGATCATAGGCAAATTTGTATTTACAGTCAGTTTCTCCCCGAAACACACATATTTCTTCTTCTTTTTCTTCTTCTTCTTCTTCTTCTTCTTCTTCTTCTTCTTCTTCTTCTTCTTCTTCCTCCTCCTCCTCCTGATACCTTGTGTCGTGACATACTTTTGCGAGTTTCTTAGGCCCCTATGCTTCTTTCACACCAGATTGCACTAGAACGAGCAATACTATTTTGTGCTGAACTTCCGTATACTGCCCCACCCCACTAACATGGCGGCTTAGAAGGGCTTGTCTGAAAGAGAACGCAATGTAGTCTCTGTACAAGGTACTAATGTGTATACTGGCAAAAGTACTACATGGACGTTCTCTGTAAAGGTCTTCCAAAATATGTCAGAACTACGTGCTCTTTTGTTCAAAAACATCATGTAGCTCTATATGTACGTCCTCACCTCGGCACAATAATAATAGATAGCATTTGTATAGTGCGAATCCCCGCTCAACAGCAAGCTCTATGCGCTTCACAATCTATACTATTAAACCAGCAGACCTGAGAGCATTCTGAAACGGAACAACCTCAACTTCCTGGGAAGTACAAACGGCTATTTATAGGCGCTAAAACAATAACATACTGACAAGATCTTTCTCTGTATATGGCCGGGTACCCATTCCCACCTGGGTGAAGTAAGGAAACTTTGTGTAAAATGTTTTGGGGTTGTTTTTTTGTGTGTTTTACGGCGTTCGCAACTGCATAGACTCTAAGGTCATATGAGCGCCCGGAACACACCAAATAATATTTTGAGTTGGTAGGAAATTTTGAATTTTGCCCAGGTGGCGGTCGAAGCCTACTTTTATCGATTTTGGACAACCAAGGAATCTTAAACGTGCGCGACTTGCACACGAGACCCCCGAGATTCATTGCCCTTGTTTGAGAAATCTAGGTGTAGACTGTAGATCTTTCCTACGGTACTAGAAGATCAGGGGGTGTGGCTGAAAGACATCAGTAAGAAAGAGCCACGGGGTAGCATTACAAAGGCTGCAGGAAGAGTCGGGAGCCCAGAGGAGGGGGAAAAGGTGGAAAGGGGGGGTGGTGGTAAAAACTGGAGACGAAAGCAAACCACAGAACATTGCTAGAGAGCAGGAAAAGAGGTGAAAGGAGACAATTTGTCGCTTTTAAGGACAAGCGGGCTAACCCAGATTTCGGGAAACTGGTGCGTCAATTTGTGTTCACAGCACCAAAGTTTAGATTTTTTTTCCCGAACACGAGGCGGATTTGTTCCATTCTTTGGGGTTTTAAAATGAAGTTCATGTCTGTGTTTACTAAAGGCCTTGACGACATTTGATTATTGTCACCCCTAGAAAGGCAGCATGTTTATCTCAATACAGTGTATCGGAGAATTCAAATCATCGGCATGCTCTGCGTGTTTCTGCTGATGCCAGGACAATGAATGTTAACAGAAAAACTGCATGCGACAGCGATCCGAAGCGCCTAACTCTAGGCTTGGCCTAACCAGGCCTAACCCCAAGACTACAGACGCAGGCAGTGTATGTGTGTGTGTGTGTGTGTGTGTGTGTGTGTGTGTGTTGGTTAGTGTTGGGTTAGAATGAAGAGAAAGAGTTACAGACAACCTACCCATCAAGCACGTTTCACATACTACATCAATCACCTCGCATATAAGCGGGTTTTGTTTATATTCGACAGTAAGGCTGCGTTTCCCTCAAGGACCATACTGCTGGGACCAGCCAGGCTTGAGGCTCTTCGGGCCAAGTGAGCTACAACCTTGGTGGTCACACCAAGACACGCCCACTGACCCATCAGTCTACCATCCCTCATCCCCACAGGCTAACATAAGCCCCAGACGTCAAAAGTAAAGGACAAAAACCCCAATAGCTCAACCTCAAAGACGACCGTTTGGGGCAAAAAAAAATTAAACAAGAACAATGGGAGTGAAAAGGAAACGTAAAAATGTCACCAGCAACGAGTCGGGACAGAGGATATATCGAGTTCGCACTGACCACTGCAGGCAGACTCCGTCGCGACAGGACGCCTCTAAACAGGTATGCCTAGCGGCTTTTTGTTTTGCTTTAAGAGACGTGTGTATCACACTGCAATACGCCTTTTCCCGGTTATATTGTTTGATTCTGTGAGGGCACCCTCATAGCCCTAGACCCGAACCCCTTCCCCCCCTAACTAGGCCAATAGACTCGCAGCTGACAATCGTATGTATCTATTTATACATATGCATACACACACGCGCGCGCACACACACACACACACACACACACACACACACACACACACACACACACACACACACACACACACATACATACATACATACATACACACACCCACACACATACATACATACATACATACATACATACATACATACATACATACATACATACATACATACATACATACATACATACATACATACATACATACATACATACATACATACATACATACATACATACATGCATGTTATCATGTGTATGCGTTATTGAAAGAATAGGTATTAGTATCGACATTTATTTATTCATTTTTTAATTCTCTAGCTTGCTTGCAAAACCCAAGTCCTTGCAGACAAATTAATCGTTTAGTGCAAAATCTTTAAGGACAAAGTTCCATATTCCAGGGTTCTCAGTGATTTTCTCAATTAAAAAATAGGACCTGAAGCAAGCAGGACTAGCTGTTTGCACTCACCAGTGGGCCTACGGATCAAAAGATATTAACGGTTTGCTTTAATCAATAATGATAATTTTCAGGATTTTGAAAAGGCCTACAAAATCCAGGTGCTTGTACCACGGGGCCACATGTCCATGTTTCAGAAGAAGGCAAGCAAGGAGCCAGATGTTGCAACCTATGTCGTCCAGCGGTGTCAGGAGAGCAATAGCAAAAGCAACAGCAACTCGTCCTCAAAAAGTCGTAATTTCATGAATTATACTATCTGCCCAAGGTGTTTGTGCAAGCATGCATCATTTCAGACGGGAGATCCTTCTGATTGCAACAGTTTGCAGCAGCAGTCAAAGCTGGCTCCATACAGCATGGCGTTTCCTTATTCACCACCCACACAAGTTCAGAATGCTGCCTGGAGTAACTTGGGGGCACCGGCAGAGCAGTGTCCCGCAATAACATGGGCGTCTTCGCAAAATCCACCAGAGGGTACACTTGTACCCAGGAGCAGCACTGGTGCTTTTCAAAATCAGTCAATCGTGCCTTTTGGAGTGGCCTATACTGACCAGATATCCCCAGCCCCAGGTCCTCAGTTTCCTCAGCCTCCGGGTCTGAGTATAACGGGAAGCCAACAGTGGCCACACAGTACGGTGCAGGTACCAATAAATGAGCAGCCAGCTGGATCTTACGGTTACTATAGCTCCCAGCCTCAAGATAGCTTCCAGAAAGCCAGTACTGTTAGATTCTCTAACATTGTGGACACCACAGAGTACCCGAATGAACTAGCCACCTCTGAGAACCATCAACAGTATGGAAGAAGTGGTTCATCCTGGGATTATGAAGACACTGGAAATTTCAGAGGGCCTTCATCAGCATACGATAGTCAGAGTATTGGTGAGCAACCAGAGGCCCCTAAATATTCTGCGGGTCAAGGAAACACGAGAAACCAATCTTACAAACAAAGTTCTGTTATCTTTAGAAAATCTAGATCTACCACCACAAGAAACTGTCCTGCAAAATGTCCTCGCGATTCTAGAGTCACGCAGACTTCTTCGAGTTGCCAGACACACGACATACGTGAGGGAAAGATCTGTTCTGCTGAGAAATGTCCCCAAAGCCGAGAGCCCTCTTTGATTGAGAAACGTGGACGCTGCAAAACCCTTTGTGGCAAGGAAAGTAGTCGGTCTGCTCAAACTTCAGACATGGAGTTTTCTGTCGTACCCCAAACCAAGTGTCGTTCGGATTGCACAATGGCGTCACCAGAACATTGTCAGAACAGTGCAGATTTTTTCCAGGAAGAAAACCACTTTCTCTGCTTCATAGGCATGTGTATTTGGTGGACAGGTTTCGTAGCCGCCTATTTTGCAGTGTTTGGTTCACTTTTCTGGTTCGTCCATTTGAACCATATGGCTCGGGCCTCAGTTGCCTTCTGTGATGTATTCCTAGTTTTCTATATTATACTTGGCCAGCATGAATTACTCATCTCATACATATTAAAATGATTACCCCCCTTCCAAAAAAACAAAAAACAAAAAGGGATATTTTAAAACCTGACAGAGCTGTTGGGGATTCTTCTTGCTGCATGTGTGTGTTTCTTTTTAAGTATGGCTTCAAGGAGCTTTATTTCTAGCTTCACACCTGTACATAAGTTTACAATTAAAATATTGATATTACAATTACAGAAACATGCTTTTACTCTTCATTTTAAAGGTTTGGATGTGAATCTGTGCTAAAATAGTTTGCCTTTTTTTAGTAGAGGTTTTACGGCGCTTGCAACTGCATAAGGTCATATTATGAGAGCCAGAAGATCAGAGGTGTTACAAAAGAGTAACAAACATATCATAAAAAAAGAAGAATGGGAGATAAGAACGATAGATGTTTGATTGGAAAGAAGCAAACCACACCAGAGCACCCGCCAACCACCCTCTATAGGGAATAGTTTACCTACAGAAGCTTAAAGGCACGATAAGTGAACAAATTAAAATTAATGACAACGATTATTGCAGACTAATGTTTTGCTTGCGTTAAAATATCTTGCGTGTTTTGTTATCATTAATATTGATGTTGTGCGTGCTTTGTTATCAATCAACATTATAAAAATTGTGTGTGTTTTGATGTCGTCATTATCGGTGTTGTGCGTGTTTCATTATCGTCGTTACCGTTGTTGTGGAAGTATTGGGTTGTTCTTATCGTTGTTGTTCTTGTTCTTGTTTTAGTTGTTTGTTTTGTTTTTCGTATCGTTGTCATCGCTGTATCTTGTGCCAGCAGTTTTTGTATGTGAGAATGTATGCGAGCCTGGGCGGTTGGTTTCTCTCTCTCTCTCTCTCTCTCTCTCTCTC